CGATTTCCTGGCTACCCAAAAAAGTCTGTTTCAGTCTTGCTATCAAAACATGACCTCGCCCGCACAGGGGGGGGGGGTTGATGCAACCCCCCTAAGGTTTTTCGCGAATAACTCGCTTAAAAAGCGGCTGATCGCGACGAAACTTTCAGTGCCCTCGCATTGATCAATTTAACACCCACCCTGAAAATTTCATGACCCTGACCCAAACGGCCTTTGACCTGTGACCTACTTTTCGAGACCATGTTTGGCCGGAACCGCGATTCAGCGTATGTCGGCTCGCATTAGCAGCGCGTTTGCAGTCTTTTCGTGGTTTCAAGCGTTCAAACATGTGATATGATGTTGCCCCCATGCATTAGGGTGGGTGTCAAGGTCACCTGAAGGTCAGGTCAGGTCATTGACCTTTGGTGACCTCGGTTCACTTTTTCGAGTTTGACATGTTTCTAGGCCAGTTTTGTCGAGCTGAATTCGAATTAAGCAACCACATGAACGTTTACAAAGTAGTTTTGGTGCCTTCGTAACATGTTACGAGGCTGTCAGAGGCGGTTGACACCTACTACAAATACCTGGCAGGACCTCTACTGGTTGACCTGACCTGACCTAACCCGACCTGGCCTAAATGAATGAAGACATCATCTGTGATCAAAACTAGCATGACATTCGTGATCAGCACCCCGAAAAACCCCATAGCAGCCACACTACGACGTTCTAACAGGTCCCAATTTTCCCGCCTTTTGGGTCATTGACCTGACCTGGAAGGTCAACCGATGACCTAGGACCTTAAAATTGGGTATCATCGGCTTTCTCTTGTCACGGGCAACACGCTCGTTTTTTCCGCGAAGCTCTAGCTTGATCAATCAGGAGCGAAACGGTAAGGGGTTATACCTTATACGTTCGCGGCTGAGTATTAATTTGGTTCAAAACAATGATGTAGATAAGTTAGTTATTTAAATCTAAATATCCTATGACGAGAGCGATGGACATTTTTGGTATGCAGTGTTATCCATTGAAAACAGGTCAAAGCTATTGAGTTTTTAATTTAGTGGTCGCCGCTTACTAATCATGCGGCATACACGCCGCACATAACCGCCAATGCCGCAACCCAGCTTAGATTTCGAAGTAAGCATTTAGTCTCACCCATGTTCGAGTAAAAATGAGCAAAAAACATGACATCTTGAAACGATCACCAATTCTACAGCTAACAAGCAATTTTAAAGTTCTTTATGTGGTTGTTTAGAAAAAGACGGCGCTACAGAACTGCTATCTCGGATTTTCGAAATTTTGGGATTTTGACCTCAAAATATTAAAAAAAAAAAGATTTTTTTTTTAGAAAAACTAAAAAAAATCCAAAAAATTTTCGAATTTCGAAAAAAACGGAATATATGTGATAGTCCCTGCGCTCTTCGATATACATACTAAATTTTAGATCGATACCTCTTTTTTGGCCAAGTTATAGCGAAAAAACTGTTAAAAATTGATGACGTCAAATATTTGAACTCAATTTTTAGCAATTCTAGACCTCGTAGCGAAAAACGGAGACCACCATTGAGCTCCCCGTGACGAGCTGCATCGAATCGATACCCATTTTATGCAAAAATATCAACTTTGAAATTTGACCTAATTTGACCTGACCTTGACCTTACCTTGACCTGACCTTGACCTGACCTTGACCAAAACGTGACCTAAGCTGGCCCTTAAGTCTGTCTGACCCACATAATCGCATTTGTCATGTAAAATGGACCATAAAACATGTATCACACGACACTTTCATATTGTGACCCCCAGTGACCTGACCTCAGTGACCTGACCTGGTATCAGTGACCTCAAATAACAAAATATGTGTTTGAAGAACATTTCCCCATCGATGATTTTTAATGAAATGCATTTTACACGATTTTACAAGTTACAACGCATTTCTTGAAATGCCTGTAAACGGTGAAAATTCGACCTTTGACCTGACCTGTGACGTCATCGGTTTGACTGAGGTCAATGAAATTGGGTCACAAGGTAGTTCCCCGTTGGGGCTATCCAACACCGTTTACCGCTTGTCGCTATGTTGCGTGGTTCTCGAGATCTTAGGGGGGGGGCCAAAATGCCCCCCCCCCCCCATCAGACCGCGTTGCTCGGCAGACCCCATCTGGGCGCGGGTTAATCACTTACCATTAGGTAAGTGCAATCGCACCATTGATGGACCATTGTTTTACCATAGTGTAATAAATAACACTATGTAATAAGTTAATTAAAAAAAAACATAGTGTAATAAGTTATTTATTACACTATGGTTTTACCTTATTTCATTTGGCAGAGGTGCTTATTCATTCATTCATTCGTCGTAAGATCACTGCGATTAGCTTAGCTAATGTTTTGAATATCATTCTTATAAATGCCAGATCTATTTGCTCAAATGATAAATTTGAAGAATCTCAGTTGTTTCTAACCAGGGCCTCGTTTCATAAAGCGAATCCGTAACTTACGCAGGTTTTTGGTATTGTATTGCAATTGCATGTGAAGCGATGACGATAGCTTGAATCGTTGAATTTATTTATATTGCAAGCAAGAACAGAAGGGAGAAGGGCAAATACATTTATCGCTTCACGTGCGCTTGTAATACAAGCCCAAAAACTGGCGTAAGTTACGGACTCGCTTTATGAAACGAGGCCCAGTTAAGTCATTGTGTAATTGGCACATCATTTGAATTACTGAAACTTGGTTATCGGACAACCAAATTTCTGATAGACAACTTCCTGGTTCCCATAGCAGCCACACTTTACGACGTTCTAACAGGTCCCGTTTTCCCGCCTTTGGGGTCATTGACCTGACCTGCAAGGTCAACCAATGACCTAGGACCTTAAAATTGGGTATCATCGGCTTCCTCTCGTCACGGGCAACACGCTCGTTTTTTCCGCGAAGCTCTAGCTCGATCAGGGGCGAAATGGCAAGGGGGGTCCAACGGACCCCCCCCCCCCCCCTTATCCCTTATACGTTCGCGGCTGGAAAAACACCAATACGGGCGAGGGTTAATCCTCGCCCTGCCAGGGCGAGGATTAGATGTTGGTTAAGGTCTCTTGCAGTCACTCAGTTCACTTCACCTTAATGCTAAAACACATACGATCACAGCACAATCGTTGCGGCCACTTGGCGAGGCGGGTTCCGCCTACAGGGTGGGGCAGAAAGATTTACCTCTTGATTTTTGAAAATATTTCGGTCCAGAACTAAGGTATTCAAATGATTTTTGGTACACGTATTCAGTAGCATGTACACATCTCAGCAACGGCACTATGAACCAATATGGCCACCTTTGGTCTTCACCCCTGCCCCGAAACCTCCCCCTGCGGAGAGGCGCGAGCGCCGCACGGTGTCCTCGTCGAAATTCGACCATGCCGTCTCGAGGGCCAGCTTCAGAGCGGCGATGCTGCTGTGTGGTGTTGCGCACATCTCGCTCTCCAGGATGGCCCAGGTGGTGAAGTCCATCGGGTTCAGGTCTGGACTTGATGGTGGCCACATGTCCTTGTCCCAGAATCCAGGCATGTGGGTCTTGCACCACTGTTGAGTGAAGTTTGCCGTATGAGACGACGCAACGTCCTGGACGACGACGTATCCGTCTCGGAACGACTGAGGATCCAAGGCAGAGCATGTTCCTCTAGCAGATGGACATAAACGTGTGAACTGACTTTCACACCCGCCTCGATGAAGATCAAGGGTCCTTTTGAGCCGTCGGATGCGACGGCAGCTCAAATCATGACACCAGTAGGGTTGTGGCGACCAAAACTGGCCTGGATAGCAGGATTAATGCTGCATGTACCATCTGCCCAGATTATGTCGCCTTGAGAGTTCATCTGGGGCTGAACCGTGGAAATCTTTTTTATCAGATCAGAGGAAGACCTTGCTACCGGCGCTTCTGATTTCCTCCAATATCTTTTGGGCCCTGTGAAGCCGCCTCTCCGTGGATGCCGCCGAAATTAGGTGTCGACGTTGCATCGTGTACGACTCAAGGCTCAAAACGTCGTTTATGATTCATCTGATCGTTTTGGGCGAAAAATCGGTGTCCTTTGCCAGTTTGCGCATGTTTCGCCAAGGATTTCGAGACACCATCTTGTGTACGATATCAACCAGCTTTTTGGTGCGGACATGTCTTGTTCTGCCTGGGATGGGCTTCGTCGACACTGTACCTGTCCCTTTAAGGCATTTCATTAGACTGTTAACAGTTTTCATGGCAACACCGAGCTGTTTTGGAACGCTTCGGACGCTGTGGCCAGCCTGCATCGGCGCCGCAATTTGGGCTCTTTTTGTAATCTCCGCCGTAGCTCAAACAACCACGACGGAATTAAAACCGATCAGAACAATTATACACGAGTCAGTTGGGAAGCCGCATGCAAAATCAGGTAAATCTTTCTGCCCCACCCTGTAAAGAGCGCGGTCGGGCAGGGGACGGGAGAGCTGAGGCAGCGGGCGCACCCGGGTGCCGCACCAGGCCAACTGACTTGTACTGACTTGTAACTTGACTTGTAGGCCTCAACTTGTATATCTCTCATGTTTTATTAGGGTTACATGAGGTCAGGGCGGTCACGGGACCTCACCATTATAAGTCAATGAGGAAATATGAAACTTGTTTTTTTTTCTCTCTGTGGAACTGTTTTTTCTTTATGGAAACTTTTTCTTTGTGGGTCACAGGAGTATCTACGGCGTTCCGATGAAGCGTAGTGCCGGCCCGGCGGCTGCACCGGGCACCCGTCTGCCGGCCGCGCTCCCGGCGCGGCGGGGCCGTTTGTTCGGACACAGCACGCGCCTCTCTGCAGTTAACTCCCTCTGGTCCTTACCGCTCTTAACGCTTGTTGTTTTGATGAGGAGCGGCTAAGTGTGAGTGCCGGGTGGGAGCTGGCCGGTGGCTGACTTTGTGGGCGGTTCGGCCCTCCCTGCGGCCAGGTGCTGATTGTCGGCGGCTCGGCCCTCCCTGCGGCCAGGTGCTGATTGTCGGCGGCTCGGCCCTCCCTCCCTGCGGCCAGGTGCTGATTGTCGGCGGCGGGGACGGCGGCGTCGCGCGCGAGGCCGTCCGACATCCGGCCGTTGAACAGGTGGTCATGTGCGAGATCGACCAGATGGTGGTGGACGTGTCCAAGCGGCTGCTGCCGTTCATGGCGGCCGGCTTCCAGTCGCCCAAACTGGAGCTGCACTTTGGCGACGGCCTCGAGTTCATGAAGCAGCACCGCGACGAGTTTGACGTTATTATCACGGACTCCTCGGACCCGGTCGGTGAGTAGCCGTCCTTCTGCATGGAATCCTCCACAGACCAGTCGGTCCTCAGATGTAGAAACGGCCGCTGCACAAACGCGCGTGTAACAAGCTCCACTCCAACCGTGACACCTGGTCCTGGAAATGCATTGCTCGGTCGCAAGCATGCATTGTTATGTTATGATACGGATAAAACACATTCTTGTGGACGCGTTTTGTCAGGGACCCTTTCAACGCCCCTTTCAGAAATAGAAACAATACAAACACACTGAATTATATTTCTGAAGGGGTTGTTGAAAAAGTCTGACCAAACGCGTCCACCCGATTATGTTGTATCCGTACTATATCTTTCGCCCCAGTGCACTGCACTATATATTACGGGACGGATAGCCCCCCCCCCCCACACACACACACACACTGCAGTGTGTGTGTGGGGCATATGCTACCACCCTGTCGCGTTTTTGGGTGTGAATAAAGAACCGCACCGCCGCGCCGCTTAGAGCAGCTTGCTGTACATCAATTTTGGACAATATGTGAAATTTTTTACCCCTGGTCATATCAGGTCAGGTCACCAGGTCAAGTTAACTGACCAAGCCTAAAAAATAGTTTGCAATCATGTCAAGCCTGCAGTGTTTGTCAGAGAGGTTTTAAACTTCTTGGATTGTATGATGTTATGGGCACCTATAATTTGTATATCTCGGATTTTTTATATCCGTGACCTAAGGTCAGGTCAGTGGCGTGACCTTTCCATTTTAAGTCAATGGAGAAAAGTGAAAATGCCTCTAAATCCGTGCGCACGCGTAGGAACAGCCCAAATATTTCAGAAACACAATGCTTTGGCCCACCCGTGACGACCAAGGTGTCCTTTTTGCTGATAGCCTCTAGAAAGGTCATCCGAGGTCATTTGAGGCTACAAACAGCTTTTCGCCAATAACTCTCGATTGGAAAGAGATAGAACGCTGGGGATGGCTTCATTGTGTTTGTCTTGTAGAGACGCATCGACTGATATGCAACATGACCTATTTGGGTCACCATGTGACCTTGACCTGAGGTCAAAGTTTGACCTTGAGCTGTCCAGGTAAAAATACATTTTTGGTAGTGACTGAATGAGAGAAATGCGATAGTGCGATTGCGAATTCTTCATCTTTGCTGGTTCAAAAGTTATTCGTGAAAAACGTGTTATCCAAAAACAGCTACTCGTATTTTCACAATGTTTGACCAATGGAGGCTTAACCGTCGCCCCGTTGGGGGGGCCAATTTGCCCCCCCCCCCCCTGTGGTTTTTCCTGAAAAGCAAGAAAACGGCGGCGCGCAGCGCCGCCAAATTTTCAGTACCTTCCCGGGCATCAATTTGACACCTTCACTCCAAATTTCAAGTCTTAAGTCACCTTAGGTCAGGAGTTATTGAGGCCAAACTGAGGTCATGTTCGAGCAAAAATGAGCAAAAAACATGCAATCTTGAAACGCTCACCAAATCTACAGTTACCAAGCAATTTCAAAGTTCTTTACATGGTCTAGTAGACAAAAAGTGGCGCTACAAAACTGCTATCTCGGATTTTCAAAATGTTGGGTTTTTGACTAAAAAAAATCAAAAAATTGATTTTTTTTAGAAAAACTAAAAAACAAAATCCAAAAACATTTCCGAATTTCGAAAAACGGAATATATGTGATAGTCCCTGCGCTCTTCTGTATACGTACCAAATTTCAGATCGATATCTCGTTTTTTGGCCAAGTTAGGTATAATAGCGAACAAACTGTTCAAAAATGATGACGTCAAATTTTTGGACTAAATTTTTAGCGATTCTAGACCACGTAGGGCAAAACAAAGACCACAATTGAACTTCCCGTGACGAGCTGCATCGAATCGATACCCATTTTATGCAAAAATATCAACTTTGAAATTTGACTTAATTTGGTCTGACCTTGACCTGACCTTGACCAAACCTGACCTAAGCCGGCCCCAAACGCTGCCTGACCCACATAATCGCATTTGTCATGTAAAATGGACCATAAAACATGTATCACACGACACTGTCATATTGTGACCCCCCCCCCCCAGTGACCTGACCTCTGTGACCTGACCTGGTATCAGTGACCTCAAATAGCAAAATATGTGTTTGAAGAACATTTCCCCATCGGTGATTTTCAATGAAATGCATTTTACTCGATTCTACAACGCATTTCTTGAAATGCCTGTAAACGGTGAAAATTCGACCTTTGACCTGACCTGTGACGTCATCGGTTTGACCTAGGTCAATAAAATTGGGTCACAAGGCAGAACCAGCAGCCGAGAGCTGTGGGAAACCTCGTGACGCCGCATCGGCGGGGTTCACACGACTGGGGACATAATAAACTGAAAATGCGTGCGATTTAAATACCGAAAGCAAAATCACCAGCCACGGACACAGACATCGACACTTATGCAAATTAAAAACAACTCCCAAATTGTCCGAATACAAAACTGTGTGATACATATCACGAGACAAAGTAGCAGTTAGCGCAGCCAAATATTCGGCAAAATAAATGGGAAGCGACACAGGCAAACTAATAGAGACGGGTAAACGGCCCTGCTGAACGATGCCAATGCAGTCAGGTGTCGTGTCGACATAGACGGCACGCTCATGAACCTCGCGACAGTTGAACAAGTCGGCAGCCGTAAGCGGTGATGAATCAGTAATAAATGGCAATGGCGCAATGCAACTTCGACTGTCTCCGTCCTGAACCGCGCGCACTAATTCCAGTGGAATCTTTATACATGGCCGGACAAAATTCAAATATCCCGCCAGACGTTGCCGGCGCCACAAAACAGGTCTCTGCTCACTACACACGGACAGCGCATCGTGCAGCTGACACAGGGTGTCGGGCGCAACGCACGTGCAACCGTCATCGAGATCGATCTCAACACCCAAATAAACAAGTCTACAAACAGGCGACAAAATCGACTTGGCATAGTTCAACTGAAATCCTATATTGACCAGAAAATCAGCAACACCGGACAAATGTGAGGCAGAGCGAGACATGAATAAAAAGTCGTCCAAATACACCAGACCAATAACACCGGGAAATCGCTCCTGTACGACTTAAACTGTAGCACACGTGAACCACTGCATCTCGTGAGCGGCTACACTTAATCCCATCGGCAACTTGCGAAAAACATGTTTTTGACTTGTACAGAACACCAAAATAATTGGACGCCGCCGGGGACAACGGGATGTGGTAATATCCGTCCCTCAAATCGAGTTTTATAGCAAAACGGTAGCCCTCAGAGGCCGCCTGCAGGGCCCCCTCGACACACGGCAGCTTACAGGGAAGGCGCGGCATGTACAGTGGATCTAGTTAGGATCTCCAGACGTAACTAGATGGCGTTGAGCCTTAGTCGAGTCCATGTCAAATTCAAGGGGAGGTCAGTACCGAGCTGGGCCGGGCGGGGAGGTGGGGAGGGGCGAGGTCACGGTGCGGGTGACCTGTCAAACAGCCCCGGCGCAGCTGGGCGCTGCCGCAGGCAAATGACGCATTCCAGCCGGCTCGCTGTTCCATATCGCGGTGGCGGGCCTGGCGGCCCGTAGCCTGGCTGCTTGGAAGAAAAGGATAAAGGCATGGGTTTGCCGTGGTCGGTTTATCTATTGTCACCTATATGACGCACTCAAAGTACTGCATATGTGATGCTGGTAATGCATGATGCTATGGTAGGTATTATTGTTGGTAATGATTGCGATGTTGGTAATGCAGCTGGCAGTGGAATACTAGCGAATGCTCCGAGCGCCGAGTAGCTCAAGGGATTAAGATTCTAAATATAGCCTGAAATTTTCATTGAAGATAGTTTCAGCACAAGAAATATCCTTCACCAGTTTTGGACTGGCTGGTGTTTCTTGCGTAGAGCGCCTATTGACAAATAACTGTCATGGCCGGCGATTTTTTTTTTGTATGACTGGTCACATCGGACTAAGGTCAAATTTAGTCGCTAAAAGGGGATGAGAAAAAGTGGACGAGTATCGCATTTTTGTGCAAAAGGTTTCGAGTTAAAAAACTAAGCCAAAATAAGTTAAACAATAAAAAAATCATAAGAATATATGACCCGAAACTAACTTCTGTTTTGTATGATCAATGATCATGATTGGGTGTAAGACCCCGGTCCAGCCTGGTTCAACCCGGCCTAACGGTTGCTGGAAATGAGGCCGCTTTCTGGTCCCGGCGTTTTATTCTCCGGGCGGGCTAATCCCGTCCAGCGTTTAGCCTTTCGAGACCCACTCAGGGTCGCGGTTGTTTTCGCCGCGCGCCCCAGTCGAGATGCAAGGTTAATAGTCACACGAAGCTTATTTAGGGCCAGCCAAACCAGCCTAGTCTGGAGTCACTGTTAAATGTATGCATTAGATGAAAGAAAAAGGTTCTGTAGAATCGATCAGTTTCGAAGTCGTATATTCGCGGGGCCTCAAATAAAGTTCGTGTGACTATCAACTTTGCATCTCGAATGGGCTGAGCGGCGAAAACAACCGCGGCTCTGAGAGGGTCCCGAAAGGCTAAGCGCTCAACGGGGCTAACCCATCCGGAGAATAAAACGCCGGGACCAGAAAGCGGCGGCCTCATTTTCAGCATCTGGTTCGGCTCCCTCATTTACCTTTTGGCTTGGCCTCGTGACATTCACAGACGTCAGACATTCAACGAACAATTTTGGCGGAAACACTATCCAGCAAGCTGCGCAGGGACGCAGGGCGACAGGACGTGTTCGTAGCGTTGGGGCTGGGTGATCTGTGTGCCGAGTGCGATATCGTGGGTTCGAGCCCCACTCGGCTCTGGTTTTATCTAGATACTAGCCAAAACCTTTCCTTTTACTGCAATACTGACAACTGACAAGCACGGTGATTTATCTTTCCCGATATCCTCTTAGCAAAGTCAAAATTGTCGCACCTATATATTTATTTTAATGTTTTGCTGAGTTTCATAATTTTTTTTTTGTCGTTTCTCTGGACCCATTTCAACTCGTGATTCTTTTCGATCCGATAAAAACCCATCATGGCTGAGCGTGTCAAATAATGAAAGAAATTATGTAACTGAATATAAATTTAGAAAAGCCTTACACATCATGCAAGGATCGACTGAAAGTATAGGTCCACGATTTCAATTATGATTGGTTAACATTTTTGCTGCAAGTTTGAGGCGTTGCATTTCGCTTGCCCGTTTGTTTGAGATAGCTATTCCCTTCAGTCGCATTCTTGCTGGCTTCACATGAACAGGGTGGTGTTTCACCGGCGATCGCAGGACGCTGCTATTACTACGTGTCAAATTGGGTTTCCACGGAGACGTGAACAAGCCCATTGCTCCAACACTACCACAAGTGTGACGTCAGCAGATATCACTGGTGAAACACCACCCGAGATACCACCATACCTGAGGGAGCGCACCCGCAACCAGCTTCCCCTCCCCTCAGCCGCGGCGCAGTGGCGGGCGGCCCACTCCCGGCGCTACGCACGCTCCACGCCGCGATAGGAGCGCGTCACCCCCCCCCCTCCCTCCTTCCCCCACAATGACCGGTGACCTCGCTCCCCTCGGGATTTGGACTCGCCCTACCCCGACCGTAGCGCCACGTGGTGGCTCTGGAGATCTTAAATAGACCCACTGTACAGCGTCAGCACGGACAGGTCGTACACGACGCGGGCCACGCCCGGCGTCTTTGGAAGCGCGAAAAGTCGATAGCACGCCCTCGGCCGCCCCGGCGCCAGAATACCAGCCTCCACAAAGTCCGCCACTGCCTGAGTCATTAATGGCGACACCTTCGTCGGCCGCCACACAGCCGGCACCGTCACCGGCACGCGCACTTTCAGGCCCCGGCTGAGAACACTCCGCACGCGAGGGTGCGCCGAAAAAAACGTCAGGGTTCACTCTCACTCGAATCGGAGGCCGAACCCGCGCGTCACCGCTCACCACCAGCCGACGCGAGCCGACGAGACCCAGAGGCGAGCCGTCAACGGGCAGCAGATTCTCCGGCACCGCCTCCCGCCGCCCGTCGCCGGCCACCGGCAGAGCCGCGTCGCCGGTCGGCGCCGGCGCCGGACACAGCGACCCCGGCGCGCCGCCGTCCCCCGTCACCAACAATTGAAGAAGTCGCCGACAGATGTCCTCGCAACTTCGCACGCGCAAGGCCCACCCTCTCGCTCGCTCCGTTGGTCGCCCCAAAAGGCGTTTTACTGGTTTAGTGATATAGCATACCTATCTGTGCCAGTAGGTATAGTATTTACCTTCTCATCCAAAACACAAACAATAGCTTGTCAACTCTCTCTCTCTCTCTCTCTCTCTCTCTCTCTCTCTCTCTCTCTCTCTCTCTCTCTCTCTCTCTCTCTCTCTCTCTCTCTCTCTCTCTCTCTCTCTCTCTCTCTCTCTCTCTCTCTCTCTCTCTCTCTCTCTCTCTCTCTCTCTCTCTCTCTCTCTCTCTCTCTCTCTCTCTCTCTCTCTCTCTCTCTCTCTCTCTCTCTCTCTCTCTCTCCTCTCCTCTCCTCTCCTCTCTCTCTCTCTCACTCATGAAATCTTTGAAAAATAAAGCTTGACTAATTTAAATCGTTAGCAGGGCTTGGGTGTACATGACTCTTGTCCCAACCTTATCTGAGCGAGTTTTGGTGCTAACACTGCGCCTCGTTGCAGGCCCTGCGTGCACTCAGCGAGTTTTGGTGCTAACACCGCCTCGTTGCAGGCCCTGCTTGCACTCAGCGAGTTTTGGTGCTAGCACTGTGCCTCGTTGCAGGCCCTGCGTGCACTCAGCAAGTTTTGGTGCTAACACTGTGCCTCGTTGCAGGCCCTGCGTGCACTGAGCGAGTTTTGGTGCTAACACTGTGCCTCGTTGCAGGCCCTGCGTGCACTCAGCAAGTCTTGGTGCTAACACTGCGCCTCGTTGCAGGCCCTGCGTGCACTCAGCGAGTTTTGGTGCTAACACTGCGCCTTGTTGCAGGCCCTGCGTGCACTCTGTTCGAGGAGAACTACTTTGAGCTGATGTCGTCCGCTCTGCGGGCCGGCGGTATCATCTGCTCCCAGGGAGAGAACATGTGGTTTCACCAGGACATCATCAGGTACCCACCACTTCAGCCGACCGCCGCCACTCTCTCTGCCGTGTGTCGGCTCATGCTCAGCTGTTTGTATTATGCAGGCTGGACCGAATTATGTTGGGTGATGATGCCGCGCGGCGTGCGCTGGTGACCGTGCGCTGGTGACCGTGCCCTGGTGACCGTGCAGTATATACAGGGTGTCTCAAAAGTTCGTTGACAGGTACTAGCCATGCTTTTTCGTCAATGATTCCGAAGCCATAAAAAATTCAATTTCGAAATTTTGCGTGGGCATTGCTAAAGGCCGTCCTAAAGCAGTGTCATTGTTTTCAAATGCATTCGACCCTTCATGAGATCACAAAAAGGGTTCACCTCTGACCATGGGTCAGGCATAAAAATGGATGTCGCAAAATCGGGTCTGTTGTGAAACGCCCTGTTTCAGGAGTAATGGGAATGCTTAAGTCAGAGCGGACACATGGCAAAATGTCGGCCAGGATGGGTACAACATGATAATCATTTTAAAAAAATGATGGCTAAAAATTTTTGAAGGGCGAAACCATCCGAGACTAGCAGCGTTTTGACTTTTGATCGACCCCGTACAATTCTTCATAATATCTAAAACACCAAAATCTTGGGGAACATAACACGAAAGTCGTTAATGTCAAGGACACTTGGCCCCAAAAAAGGTAAATAAATGTAAAGTTTGATTCTAGGAAGTTACATGAGGCAGATCTGGAGCGAATAGCTTTCTTTCAGACACGAAAACCCGACAAAACTACATGATAGACAGGCTTGGACCGTTTACAAAGCAAAAGCTCTCTTGAGGAAAACACTGCGCAACCCAGCGAATGTTTTGGCATGTGGAATGTTGAGCGTTTGGGATTTGCAAAATTTGAACGGCGTGTCTCAGAAACAGATGACCAACACATTCTGCTACGATATTATGCAAAAAGTTTACCCCTGGCAATTCCCGTTTGTTCAGGAATGGGGTCGTTTTGAAAAGGGAAATGGTGCTTTAGATGTCGGCGCCAGCCTTCGTGAAGGAGTTGGCGCCAGAGAATACCTACAAAGTACAAAATACTCACGAATGGTGTCGATGCAAGCTGTCGGCTCTCAGGGAGAAGCAAATGTGGCTGGAGAGCTCGTTAAACCTAAATCCGACGCAGAAACTGCAGGGGATTCCCCTGCAAGAGCTTGAAAGCAGACTACCTTTTATCAGCCTCCGGCAGCTGACAGAGCGACGAAAATCGGTACCGGCAAATATTTTTGGAGCTACAGCAAAGGGTTTGGTTTCAGACATTCCGAATTCGTTGTCAAAGCACGTGCATTTGTCTAGTGTACACATAAGCATCAAAACCTTATATTGTTGGCTTGTTCTTATATGCTTTATTGGCATTGAAAATGTGTCAACGACCTTTTGCGACGCCGGCTGTACGTACATGTGTTGCGTTAGTGACCGGCCGGCCGGTGTGCCCTCCAGGAAGGTGATGGACGGCTGTCGCAAGTATTACGGCTCGGTGTCGTACGGCTTCACCACCATCCCGACGTATCCGGGCGGCCAGATCGGCTTCGTGCTGGCGGCCAAGGACCAGGTGAGACGCCGCCGCCGCGCCCGCCCGCCCGCCCAGAGCTTCAATACTAAAAATTGACACGTTTATCGGTCACATTTTTGGTCACATGTTCACAAACAACTCTGTACGTTCATAAACAAGTCATCATTTCTGATATCTTTCGCGCTATGATTCTCGTACACTGACACTCTTGGTTGCAGGCATGTTTTACCTACATGTAAAAAATCGCCTTTATTATCTCAAGCACATGGAATCGTGATTTATGATAAATATTGCAACGCTGACGCCTAAATTGTGCATTGCAGACCTTGCATGGCGTCATACAAGACGTAAATATGTGGTGCGTTCGGAGAGCATTGAATATTCACCGTCCCCGGGAATATTCCCCGTGCCGCGTTCGGAGGCTCTCTGAACGGCCAATCTCCGGGGATATTTCGCGCGCATGGAATATTCCACGGATTCCACGTGGAATGTGCGTCTCCGAACGCACCAATGGTTGTTTGGTGTAATCGGAGCTTTTCGCGAATGGAAACCGAGGTCTTTAAGCCGAGTGCCGGATATTTTTTGAAGACGGAGGCCCGATGCATGGATGAGATAACACACGGCCCATGAGATAGGCATGGCCAGAAGGCCGGATAGGTCGTCAGGACTAGCTGAATGTGCCTGAAATGTCTCGTTAGTGGAATAAATGTCTCGGTATCGGAATTCCACTAGCTGGCAACTAGCCCTGTGTAAACGGGGGTAATATGACTATTTAAGGTGTTGTGTGGTGGTGGACTATTGAAGATGTCTGTCCGCGTTACCAAGGTCCCGACATGGTGACGCTGGCCGGTATTCCCGACATGGCGACGCTGGCCATACCGGCCAGCGCCTAGGGCGGTGAAATTCGCACAATTTATAGGCCAAGGATGCGCAACCTGCCTTTGACGGGTGCGGGCTCGATCGGGTCGATAGTGAACGAAAAGTGCAAATTCGCGTCGTCGGCTTTACATTTAAAAATCGGTATGCGAAATCGGGCGAAAACGGCTTGAATTTGCCCGATGCGTGTCCGGTCCCGGTGCAAAATCTCTGTAACCACGCACCCTACAGGTACGGCGAGCACAACATCGTGTAGAGAATTACACGGGCTATTGAATGGTGTGCGATGCGGAGGATAGCACGTGCCATGTGCATTGTGCACCCACGAGTGCACTTTTATTTGAAAAATTGACATTTTTGGCGGATTTTGGAACTTACGCTGTTTTCAGATGACCGTCAGACGGAGCGAGTCGAAACAACGCCTTTTGGCAAGAGAACTGTACGGCCTCTCAATGAAAAATTGTGAAAAGCTAGTTGATCAAAATCAGAGTGTTGGGGAAATCAATCAAAGAAATCAATCGCTGGAGAAATGGTGTTTGTCAATGGTGTGCACCTTTGTTAGTGCACTGCTTTTGCCGCATAACCTGATACACTTGGCAATGGAAAGTGGTGCCGTTGGCAAGAGCAGTCAATTCTATCTATGATGCATCCATCGGTCTTGCGTGACGACCATAAGTATTCTTATCCTGCGCCCGAGTGGGCCTCTCGGCCAGCTTCACCATGGTGGGGGGCCTTTTTGGCCACACCACGTTATCTCGGAAGGTAAGCAAGCTAGAAGGACGCTGTGGAAAGCAATAGATAACTCGCTATAAAATCTTTCAGAATCATAGAGGTCATTTATCGATCAGGCCATCCATCACTGAGGTCACTGCAGGCCACCAAAAGGTAAAATTATCGCCACTTTTTGTTCCCGATTTGGACAACTTTTCACAAAGCGGCGCATAAGTCGGGACCCAATAGAGCTAGAGCGCTGCAGAAAAGCGCATTCGATAGCTCTTTCAATAGGCTTTCTGAATATTGATCTCAGATTTGACTTTAGGTCAACGGTTTAGCCTCCAGAGGGCAAAAACTCAAAATTGGACGTTTTTGCGGAAAATGTTTTTTCTGTAATAACTTCCAACTCCAAGCCTGTATTACGCTGGTTTGGAAAGGTCGCCTTATAGTGGAAAGGTCAGCTTAAAAATTTGGCCTCAGGTCAAGGTCACGGAAAAGGTCATTTTGCACGTCATTCGATTGATATTGTTGAGGTGAACACGGTCATGGTGTTGTCAGCGCTCTAGCATGTTCCTATCTAACGTTTTTGTCAAAAAACTGTTTGAGACGTTTCATGATCTGAGATGACCTCAGGGGCATCAAATGAGTCACAGGTAAAATTGTGCGGTTCAGTGTGTCATGTTCACCTGTTCCCCGATGTTTAAGGGTGTTTTAGGCCAAAGGAAGAGTATTTCCATTTTCTCCCTTTGACTTATAATGGAGACTGGGGAGGTCATAAAATGACCTGACCTTAGGTCATCGATATCAAATGTCCGAGATATACAAATTGTTGATATTGATTCCCTCATGCAATAGCCCGAGTTTCAAGCTTCTGGGTTGTGAGCTGTAAGAATGAATGAATCACAAAGTTGTTTAGAGGCATGGTCACTGACGCGGTTTTCCTTACACACGCAAGAAAAACTGGCACTCGGCCGGCAAAAATGAATCGAACGGAATGAACACGGACCAAATCGAAACAGGACCACCCAAACACCCACTTGTCAAAAACACGCACGTCTTCGCGCTGCGGAGCACGTGGGTCACCCTAGTCTCCACGATGTCAAGCGCATGCCATCTCTATAATTCTCTTTGTAAAATTTTTACGCTTGCCGTGACCTATAGTAAACACGTGCAAAGCGTTCAGGCGCTGTATTTTCGTTTTTTACGGTTACCGATTCATTTAATTGCTGCTCTGTGAAACAATAGCTCAGGCGGCTGGAAGAATGGGCGAGTCCCCAGAGTGTGATCAGTAGCGGCGGAACACCTTCAATTAACGGGAGGGGGGGGGGGGGGCACTGCCGACTTTTGGTCCCATTCTTTCCATGCAACGCCCATAGGGTTAATGTTAAAATGGCAAAATCAAGGGGCGCCCGGTGCCTCGGTGCCCCCCCCCCCCCCCCGTTTCGCCGCCTATGAGTGTGATAATGTGCTGGTACTGCGGCCGACGTGTGGCGGTGACCTGGTGTGACTGTGCGTGCCCGGCCGGCAGGGTGTCGACTTCAGTCGGCCGCGCCGCGAGCTGACCGAGCCCGAACTGGACGCCATGGGCCTGCGCTACTACAGCTCCGAGGTGCACCGGGCCGCCTTCGTGCTGCCGCGCTTCGTCCGACAGGCGCTGGCCGCGCCGCAGTGACCGCCGCAGTGACCGCCGCAGTGACCGCCGCAGTGACCGCCGCCGGCCGCCGCAGTGACCGCCGCAGTGACCGCCGCACGACGGTGCACAGCCGCTCTTGTGTGCAGCAACAGGGGTACCTATGTGGTTAATGATAGTTACAGTACTGGCGGCGAGTGATACAGTCGCCAGATTTGGGGACGGATATCTGGCAGCCAGTGATATCAGTCGCCAGATTTGGGGACGGATATTTTGCTTGCCAGTTTGTTAGCAGATGATATTTCTAGATTAATCCAGGGATTTATGTAAACAATGGGAGAATGGTGCCGTTTTCAGGCACCGGCTCACCCGCCGACACTTATCAGGGAAGTCTACTCACAGGTCGTGCGGGGGCTTTAGGCTGTTTAATTAATTCAGCCAATGACTCATTCACTGTCGTTTGCTAGGCAGAGGCGACAACCATGACTGAAGAAGTGACTATTTCCTTCTTGTGTGTTATCACTCACATTCACAGTGTTCCATAGGCATTGTACGCGAGTGTTGATCGGCCCTGTGGCGTGTCGGTGCGGACGCTGAGGAGGTGACCTTTCCGTGGCCGTGTGCTGCCGGCGCCGCGCACCGGCGCCACCGACACAATGACCCGTTTTAATACAGCAGCAGCAGCAGCCACTCGCAGTCGGGTCTGTGTATAGCCGTCGTGTTCAGCCGCGCTGGTTGACGTCATTAGTCGATCGGGATTCGGGAACGGCGTTTCGCCGCCGAGTGATGGCGCATAGGTACAGCCAACTGTTCTCTATAGCATGACATAGCGGCATGTGCACACTGGATAAAGAGATAGATATCCTCATTTTCACAGCTCTCCAAATGAAAACGATGAAAAAAGTGCGTTATTGGGGATGAAAAGCATGGTTTCGCGTGCTTTCCATTTGGAAATTCACATTGGGAAGAGCTGAAAATGATAGTTTTCTGGATTTGGAGATTTGAAAGCATATGCTTTCCATTCGGAAATTCACATTGGGAAGGGACTGAAAATAAAGGTTGTATGGGATGTGTGTGTGGGGGGAAGGGTGTAGGTGATTGTATGCGTGCGCGCGCGCGCATGTGTGTGTGCTGTGCGTGTGTGCGCGCGGCGTGCGTGTGTGTGTTTGTAAGCACATTGCAAGGAAAAACAATTACAAAGAAACACTTCGTTTTTGTCCTTGTGGGCTACAATGATGTTAAAAATTATTTCCAACCAAATATTTCGGCTGCATTGTTAAAAATATTCACCGGTTAGATAAACGAATTCGTATAAGCTTGACTAGCAAGTAGCAAATACGATGCTGGTTCCATTCAGAATGAAGCCATAACGATAAACAATGAGCTTAGCCTTTTCGCAACAACTTCAGACCTCCCTCAGTACGTGGACGACACCCTAGTGCCAGTCAGAGGGGAAAAAGTCCACCCTTACGGCTCTGAAAAATTGTTTGGAGACTGCCTGGACGCTTTAGACGTCAGGTTCAGAGCGAATTAACTGAAGGTTAATTATCTTTCAACCCTCCAAATCCGGAAAACAATCATTTTCAGCTCGTACCAAACCCCAGCTTATCATATTCGTCAGTCGTCATAACTTGCAAAATTTGCCCACCAATAAACTATCGGTTAGTTTTCGCGGAGAGATTCTCCAGCCTCGCACAGAGGTGAAAAACCTCTCAGGCAGCTCGAGTATGTATGTACGTATATACATCCACCAAGGGCTAAAGTTCGGTCCCAAAGACTCAGGATGGGGTGACAACTGACAGCTGCATAAGCCACACATTTCAGAATATTCACAATACATACTTTTTTAAAGTCGTGAGAGAAGTTTTATTTCAGGTTATGCAGGTGAAAAGCACAACAAAATTCCAAAACTGTCGTATGATTGTTACGAGAGATTGTATTGTATTGTATTGTATTGTATTGAACAATCATGAGCGATCCACATTCTGAAAGTGCGTGGCGATTACTGCTCAGGAACATTTAGCACGACTCTTTCTCACAACGCGGCGTTTCTTCAACACCGTGTTAGCGACCTTCTTGGAACCTCTGGACTCGCTGCGTCCACGGCTCGATCCTCTGCTTTTCGTGTTAAGCACATCTTTTTGCGTTGTTCGATGGCCAATCAGCAAAACCCATTCGTCCGATCAGCACATAGGTGGCGCCAGTGAGAGGCATTCCGGCAAAACCTTCAGCATATGGGCAAAACGGAATGCTGATCCCACTCCACAGTTCGTCAGTTGGTATTACCTTCGCTATTCGCCATAACTGATTGAGTTCCGGCAAAATCTTTGACGATTTGGATAAATGCTTCGTCATTCGTTAATATCCCTTCGTCTTTCACCAAAACATCCCCATGCTAATTTCGGCATTCCTCATAACATTTCGTCAAAACTAAAAACAAATCGCCCCTTTACAGAGAAGTATAAATATGACCACGTTTATACAGTGCAGTGCGAGGCATAGGTAGCGAAACTCGTAGGCCATTTATCCACATAAAAAATTGGTAGCGTTCATGAGCGCCATAGGTTAACAGCGCCGGGCCGGGGGGGGGGGGTGTTTGAACACCCCCCTTGCGGTTTTTCGCAGATATCTCAAAAAACGGCGGCGGCGGGAGCGCCGCCGTTTTTGGCACACCTGTTCATGCATCTTTTCCGCACATGTTATGAAAATTTCAGACCCAGGTCACCTTAGGTCAGGTCACCAGGTCACGCCAAGTGACCTCACCTCAGAAAAAATAAGAATGCTCGTCATAGCTCCACCGATTGATCGATTGCCTTGAAACTTTCAGCGATTGATTAAAGCTACATTATCTATAAAATGTTTATCTCGGAATTTTGATATCGGTGACCTAAGGGCAGGTCAATTCTGCGACCTCTCCATTATAAGTCAATAGGAGAAAATTGAAAAGCGTCTGTTTTGCACGAACGTTATTCTAGACACTCTCAAACATCGAGATGTAGGTAAAATGGACTCACTGAACCGGAAAATGGCAACTGTGACCCCTCGTTATGTCCCCGAGGTCATCTCAGGTCACGAACAGAATCTAACAGTTTTTCGCTAATAACTTCTGATAGAGACGTGCTAGAGCGCTGAAAACGCCTTAGATGTGTTTGACTCGACGTTGCGGATCGACTGATATGCAACATGACCTTTTCCGGTCAGGTCATGACCTTGACCTGAGGTCAAATTTTCGAGTTGACCGGTCAAATTATAGTTCATTCGACGCGTCTCGACGAGAGGAACACGATGGTGGCAAAAGTAATGTCATGACTCTTTTGAGTCAAAAGTTATTGCCGAAAAAAACGTTTTTCGTAAAAACGGCTATTTTTGAAGCTTTTGCCCCCTGAAGGCTAAACCGTTGACCTGAGGTCAAATCTGAGAACATTATTCAGAAAGTTCTGTAAAAGGGCTATCGAATGCGCTTTTCCGCGGCGCTGTAGCTCTATCGGTTCCCGAGATAGCCGTTGGCAGTTTCCAAAATGTTGAAATAGTAAACATTTGACCTTTGGTGACCTCTGGTAACCTGACCTTTGACCTGACCCAAAAAATGACCAAGTGTTTTCGTCCTTATTTTGGACGTTCTTTCGATTGCCGCTTACCGCGTGTCGCTACGTGGCCCAGGAGCCGAGTTAGAAGGGGGGGGTGTTCAGACACCCCCCCCCGGCCCGGCGCGGAATCTCAGAGCACCGGCCCGGCGCGGGTTAAGTCATAGATTCATGATAATCTATGATAAGATAGATTCATGTTATCTATGGTTAAGAACATACAATGTAGATGAACGTAGCTGACACATGTTATCGGCTGATTGAAAAATGGACAGGCAACAGAGCAACAGGCTAGATAAGTTAACCCCGCCTCAAACACCAAGGTGTCACCAAGGAACAGGCAACAGGCTGGATAAGTCAACCCCGTCCCAAACACCAAGGTGCCCGTCCGACCGGGCCCGGCTCGCCATCTGTCAGCCATTCCCTCGCGAGTCCGACCATCGCGGCCGCCCGAGGCGTTGTCCCATGACATCGCACGTGCAGTGACGCGATGATGACGGCCGACTTCGTAGTTCGTATCGAAGCGTTTTGGTTTAGGAGTCCGACGCTCGGCCGTATACATGCCTACTCGGTTTAGCGCCCGTAGTCTCCCAGTACCTATCTATCGTATGCTGCCTTCTTCGGAATCCAATGGTTAATTGGTTGCAAATTGCGCTGGAACTGTCGCAAGCCTCATGTATGGATGTGTGATTAACATTAAACATTTAATATGGCTAGATAAGCAAAACATTATTGACATTTTGATCATTAGCCGCGTTTACATAGGGCTAGTTGCCAGATAGTGGAATTCCACTAACGAGACATTTTTTCCACTAACGAGACATTTCAGGCACCTTCAGATAATTCTGACGACCTATCCGGCCAGAAGGACCAAACCGATTGACAAAAATAAATACATCGTGGCGGATGAACACTAAAGAGGTACTTCAGGCCTAGACATAGTATAGATGTCGCAACTCGCGGCCTCCCCGACAGTAAGGGCGAGGTATAGATGACGCTACTGCAGCAAGTCACTGGGACGTTGCGAGTCGTGGAATGGAACGGAAGATACGGAACGGGGGCTTCTTAACGCCTAACGGAAGCTTATTCGTTTTATTTTCATTTAATAATTGATTTCGTGCGATAGAGAAAGAACATTGTGTTCTTCTTTCATACGTCTGCACCCCCCCCCCCTGTCCCTTCCATCCTTTGGATCAGCCAGTGTGCAGCAAGAGGGTTCATCGGAGAAAAACAACAAAGAGCAATCCTCCCTGAGCCTGCCAGGTCAGAAATAACCTGAGCATAGGGCATAGGCGGCGGAACGGGGAGGGCACCGGGGCACCGTGCCCCCTTTGATTTTGGCATTTTAACATTGTCCTATGGGCGCTGCATGGAAAGAATGGGACCAAAAGTCGGCGGTGCCCCCCCCCCCCTTAAATGAAGGTGCTCCGTGGCTACTGAACCTGAGGACCGTTCGTTATGCCCTACTGCCCACGCCGTTCTTAAAATTTCAGTAGTAGTCAGTTATCTGGCCAATGTTTCCGTATAGGGGTTGGCAAACACAACTGAGCCTCCTGAGTGGGATGAGTACTGGACACAGAAGTGGACAATCTGTTGGCAAGAAGCCCGCAAGGATAATATCTCGAAACTCAGGACTACGTATACAAACATATATGGTTTGTATACGTAGCAAACTACGTATACAAACACTTTAAATGCATCTAAATCTATACTATAATCGAAAGCCGGCAGCCGCATTGTTGTGAACTACCGGCACATCACCATCAAGAACGGAAGTCCGACCTACAGCAAGCACGACAGTCCGATCATAGATGTATTGAAAAATAACTAGCAACTTTAAACATCGCCTTCCTCAGCCACGCTCTACACCACATCACATAAGAAAACCGCCAATATCTATTACAAAACACACATAAAGGAATTTCGTAGGTATAGATCAGAGGATTACTTCACCTCCTTTATCTGGCGCGTCAATAGGTATAAAGTAATCTTTGGCGTCTACGCACTAGCAACATCTATAATGCAAACAGCAGTTCAGAAACCATCCACTAAAATTGTAACAAGGCAAGGGTTGGTCAAAATAAATCATAGTCACCGTGATGAATAGCAAACGAAATACAGAACAAGCACAACAAAGCATTCCACACTCGTTTAGACTGTACCTACAATATGCCTACATAAGACATTGCAGCAGTGTACAAGGAAAACATTCTTTAAAGATGCTAACGTGGGGAGTTTTAAAAGTTTGGTGAACATAGTTACGAGTCACTGCACAAGAAATGTCGCGGTCGCCAGCCGCCCCAGGCGAAAGAGTCGACGGAGACGGCGTCAAACAAACCCGAGAGGGGGTAGTTTCATCCGCATCAGCGGAGGCGCTCTCTCTACCAAGGTCGTCAGTTACCAGCCGCAGCACCCTGCTGGCGATTTGATAGCTGCTCTCATTCTCAGCTGGCTGAGCGCCATGTGCCGGGTCATCCGGCTCCATGATTTCCCCTTTCATTAGCAGCTGCTGTTGTAGTTATTGTTGTTGCGTTCCTTTCAGCCGCTGCCGCAGCATAGCCGTACGGTTCTGGATGGTTCTCACGGCGGCAGCAAGGGTCACCAAATCCGTCTCCCCGTAGCCACACCAGACTCGGGAAAATGTACCGAGATGTACCGAGCCAATGTTGCAGCACTCGCGGCATTCATCGGTAGGACTCCGCCCAACCCCGTAGACCCCAGCTCCTTCGCTGCAGGTTCTCGCGTCTGCCGACCCGTCCGTCCACACCCACGCGGCTCGATAGGGGAGGGGAGGGCAGATATCGTTACGTCGCTTGAAGCAGTTCAGCTGCCGAGGCTCTTTGTCGCAACGCCGCCAGCGCCGCGCATCGCAGCAGCACATACCGTGGAGTGCCAGCCTCTTCGCGGCAGACGCGGCATCGGGCAGCAGGGCACTCCACGTCGTTGCATTGTGGGAATCCGGCCTCGGGAGGCGGCCGATGCAGAGCAGGTACTGGCAGATGTCGATAACGACTGCACGGTCGGCCTCCAGGACGGAGCCAGGACAGCGGTCGACCCATATCGACCGGTACCATCCGTCCGGCCAGCTCCGCTGCCAGGCGCGCGCAGCGTCGCGCGCGCGCCTGCCGTGGCGCGCCTGCCTTGGAGGTAGCGCCCACGTCGATCGGCGCTACCGTTGGGATAGACGGCGGTCGACCCATATCGACCGGTACCATCCGTCCGGCCAGCTCCTCCAACACCGCTCTTAGGGCGAACAGCTCGCCGCGCGTGCTAGAGCAGAGGGCGCCTGCCGCGACACGCACCTCTCGGATGTCGCAGTTCGGGGGGGGGGTGGCCCCTCCTCCTCCATCTAGCACACCATCAGTGGCGGAGCTGTCTGACCAGATCAAGCTCGCCTCAGACGGGAGCTCCGCCAGACGACTTTCCGCCGCCTTGGCTCGCCAGCCGTCGCGCCCAAACTCGCTTCAGGCCGTGAGTCTATAGCCGGCGCGGTGGCGTGGCTTCGCCATGGTAGCCTTGGGCGGGTTGTCCTCAGAGAACGCGTTCGCATTGGCGAGGAGGCGAGCAGCGCCACGAGTCCTGAAATGACCAAACAACATCAACAGACAATCAAAATTGTGAAAATCGGCATTAACTGCGCAACTGATGTTTGCTTGTTTGTTTATAAGGGTTTACGGGCGCTGCGGTGGTCATTTTGCACCCATGACGCTGTTCTGGTGAACCTGCGCAACTGAGCAGTGATCATGCCATAACTTATGTTTGGTGTAGTGGCAGGGTTCCACCTAAAATTTCGGCGCACGTCAGGTGTAACGTCACATGCGACAAGTTCAGCGCATGTCAGTTGGGAAAACTAAGGCTACTGGAATAATATAAAACGAGGGCACCAAAAATTGATCCTAAATGACCATACTTGGACATTAATGCAGACCCTTTCTGTATCACCAATTGTCAGAAAACAAGCAGGTGTTTCAAGGAGCGTTAGAGAGTCATGAAGCCAGGATAAAACACAGTGCTATTTTCTCAAAGCAGCTTTTACATGATTGAGTTAGGTAACTCCCTCTCTCTCTCTCTCTCTCTCTCTCTCTCTCTGTTTACCATTCGCAAGGCCAAAAAGGCCAATTGGTTTTGAAAGGCATTGGATTACAAGCTGAGCATTTCTTACTTTATCATAAACTGTTAAACCTGCGTGTAGATGAAGTCTGAATGGTGGTTTGTAGGCCGATAGGATAGGTTGGAGGTTGAAGGTTAGTAGGGAAGGTAAGGTGAGGATAATTTCTGCTTTTTATTTTCATTGGACTTCAGTCTTCATGAACACACGCATCAAAAATATCATCTATTTGAGCATCTTCAAGCCTCAAACCACAACAAATTAAAAATTGATGTCATGCCAATATATGGTCATGATTTTTACCACCAGAATTGAATAAATGCCTATTGATGCCTTTCCTAATATTTTGATGCCTGAAATCTGATTAACAAGCATTTTTCTTGTGTTGGCAGTCTAAAATTTGGCTGGCTTGAGCACGATGCTACCTTGACCTATTGCTCTAGCAGAATCTCAAACAGATGTCTACCAAGTGCCACTCCCAAGAAAGTTTTCCAACTTCCAAGATTCTAAAACAACAAACTTTGTTGATGCCTCATCGTGTGATGGTAAATCAAATGATAGCACTCCATCTGAGGCCAGTTTTACAAACAGAAAATAGCCACCTGCCGGATTTTTTTTTTGCCTAAAGGCTAATTCACATATGGAGCGTACCTAAATGGTGAAGCCCTCCCTGCTTATATGCCGATCGTGTTTACTCTCTGTATGTTGTACCTACGTGGAATGGATATATAAGGAGAAAAATTCCAGGCAGCTATTTTTGTTGGTAAATCGAGTAAAGTAAAACTGGCCTCTGAACGAAAATTTGGACTAAGTGAGATCTGTCGGCTCTTTGGTCATTGGTGGGTTGGATAGGAGTTGATGATTTTAATTGAAAGATTAAAAGGAAAGGGTTTCAAGACAAACGGCATGACAAACCAACACCTTACCTGCAGTTCAAGTTTGTCGATTTCTTCATCAGAATCTAGTCTGTCTAGTCCACAGATCAAGATAAAATTACTGGATAGGTACAACTTCTTCTTCTTCTTCTGCACCTCACCCGCCGCCTCCTACACTCCTCCCTTATTCTGATAAATATATTTACATAATTTTCACAAGAATGCCACTCCACCGTCCACGGGGTAGATCTAAAAAAGTACAGGGATTAAATTTTGAGCTATAGAGTTCTCAGTGATTTTGAGACACCCAATTTGTCTTCGGCACGCCGCATTTGTCTCTCACTGCCTGCGAAGTCGGCGATATGATTGGTCGAAGGCCGAGGCTATGGGTCCAAGAAAAGGCCAAGATTCCTGCCAAGATTCTTACAGATAGCCAAGGCCGATGACTGACGTGACTGACGGCATGTTACTGCCCTTGGCATACTGCCAATGCACTGCTCGGTCATATCGGCAGTAATGTCAACAGTCATATCGGAAGTAATATGGTAGCTAAACGCAAAAACCATTTGGCGTATAGCTACCATATTTTTCCGATAACGAGACATTCTAGATCAATTTCTCTACTGTTGGCGACATCTGCTGAGAAATCCCAAGACCGAACGCAAGCACATAAAAGTAATGCACTCTAAGGATGCGTTCGAAATCTGGGAAGTGACGGATTTCATTCCTCAATGCCTGTCCCAGCCTAATCCCCATGCTGTTCGTTCCGCCATCTATTGCCATGTTTTGCATTCGCACTTCATGAATTGACCACCCCGCCAAGAAGGTTGGTATCAAGTTGGTATAGGTGTCGCATTGCTCTTGTCGATCAGGCTGACCGCTGAGCCAACTGTCTGGAGAGTGGAGCCGATCCAAAAACGCAGGAATTCAAAAGACCGACTCCAAAGCAATGGCAGCATTCATATCAAAAGAGCGTCATTCTGTCATGATTGCGTCAGAAGCAAACATAATGCAAGAGTTTCTTGTGTGTCGGTAGGCGCGTGTGGAGCCGCTGGACCGACCGGGGACGTACCCAAGGGGGGACGGACGGGGTGCGCCTCCCCCTAGGGGTTTTCAAGGCCCATGCTGGCAGAAGGCCCACGTTGGCCAAAAGCACGTCGGAGACGAACGAAATTCATGGGAATCCCCCAAAAATCACGTCAGGACAATCATGGCTCTCCGACTCGCCTGCCACCTAGGGTCCTTCAATTTACTACATGGGGCCTCCTGTGAATAGCCGCTAGTGTCTGTGTCTGACCACTAGGGCCCCTCTGACTCCTCGGGTAGAGGGCCCTCTGTAGGTAGGAGGCTCTCTCTACGGGATTCCTCCGCTACCCTCCCCCGAACTCGGCCAAATTCTAGGTTATACGTGACTGCGCTAAGCCGGGGTCGGAGAGAGGAGTTGACGACCGAATGACAAGGAGTACTCGTCCTGAATGTAAACATTTGGAATACAAACAATCCAAAGCTGTTCAGTATTTATATCATTCGAGAGCAGTGCCTTCAATTTGGATACACTTAGCATTCATTTCCCACACCCGTGTACACTCCACGAAGGCTTCTCCGCTGCGGACTCCCGCTTCCGCCGATGCGTCAGTTCATACCCTGATGGCTTGCTGGGGAGGGTGGCCAAGTGTCGCTGTGCCGCCAGGTGTTCATCAGCCGAGGCGTCGCGCTGCAGTGTCCCGATGTCCAGCCTGAAGGTGAAGTCTGGGAAGGCGGCCACCTCCCACGGCGGCGCGCTGGCATGCAACCAGGGGGTCGAGTCGCAGGGCGATCCCAGCCGCTCGCCAGGTTTCGTGCTCCACCCCACGCCAGCCCGTCACCGACTTCAGTCGGCTGGGCTGGGCATCTTCCGCGATAGTCCTGAGGGCTTGCCCTCGGGGAGCGCGTGCGCCTTGGCGAAGAGCTTCGCTACCAGCACGTCTCGCCGGGCGGCCAGCGGGCACCGGCATCAGTCCGGACTTCACCATCACTGCGTGGGCTGGGATAACTAAACAAGGGGCAGCCGGTGATATACGGGTCACCGCCTGCATCTCCCTCTGGAGGAGTTCCACGTGGGATTGTGGCGTCACCGGGAGCCAGGTGGCGGCCGCGTGCACCAGCACTCCACGGACGTATCCAGACGCTACAGCGCAGAGCTGTCGTTCCTCTAGTCCCCAGCGCCGCGCTGTCAGCTTGCGAAGCTGCTGGATCCGGGGCGCACTCGGGAGCGGAGACTGCGGCAATGGGCCCCGAAGTGAAGGAGCAGGTTGAGGGGGTGGCTCCGAGTAGTTTGAGACGGTCGGCTGCTGGAACCGACTTTCCGTCGACTTTGATGGCACAGTCCACGGCGTCCGCGGCGCTCTAGGAGACGACGAGCAGCTGCGTATTTCACCCGCTACCAGCATCTTGGACTGTTTTGCCCAGCGCAACACAGCGTACGTCGCCTGCCGCGTCCGGCCCCAGTTCAGTATCGTCTGTTTCCATTAACACTCTGAAATGACAAAATAATTAGCCATTAAAATCAAAGTTCAGCACTGACGAAGTTTAACCAAACTTGCCATTTCAACATAACACAGTGAGCTGTCAGAATGCTGTTCTTTTGTGCTTTGACACAGTTGCAAAATAGGTACCTGCATACGTATATCATAGAAGTAATTACTGGTTATTATTATTGGAGAATTTTTTTTTGCAGCATTCTCGTCAAGTAAAATACATTATCTTCTTTAAAAGGACCATAGTGTGAGGTGTAAATACAGTCTGTAAGGTTGTCCAGACTAATTGTGCCCCTATTTGTACGGCCTGGGCTGGAGCATGTACTGTTGGCATGTTTGCACGTCCACTTTGGATTAATCTGGCATGCTAAGCGAATGCGATGGCAGCGCCTTGCATTGCTTGCATGCGGTGGTTGGCATTGTTGGGAAGTGTTCTAACTATCTGTTTGTCCCGCTTTGCCCACAGCGTCGACTGGGTTGAATTGAATATACTTGTATTTCTGAGTGAACAGTTTCTCACATTTGGAGGCAGCCATTCAACCCAGTCTGGAACCCACTCTTGCTTCCGAAGACGCTTGAGGTGGCAGAATTCCAGCAAGTCAATGAGTTTTTGTGATAGCGTGGATGAAAAAGTTCAAGCACTCTCTTTAAAGTAGCGGCCAAGGAGCCACGGACACAGGACATGGCGTGTGCCCCTGTTAAGCCAGACAGATTTAATGGTTCTGGTGATGTGGAAAGATTCTTGGCCCATTTTGAAGTGGTGTCAAAAGCCAATGAGTGGTCAGAACAAAAGCAGTTCCTGCAGCTCCCTGCCTGCCTGACTGGACCAGCTTTTGATTTTTATCGCCAGTTGCCTGCCATGGAGTGTACTGACATTCACACACTGAAAAAGGCGCTCAAAGCTGAGTATCATACACCAGCTCTCCCTACAGATTATGCCATCATGCTGTCCAAGCGTTCACGCATGCCTGGAGAAACTGTCATGCAGTATGGCGAGGCTTTGAAGAGCCTTGGCAGGAAAGCATATGCTGCCTTCAGTGAAGAACAGTTGGGAACTGTTTGTCGCTCCACATTTCTGAACAATGTTGATGAAGCTATGAGAGTGCAGTTGCTACTGACCCTGAAGGAAACAGAAAGTTACAGGGACCTACTGCAAAGAGCTCGACAGCTGGAGCAGGTAATGGGACCTCGTGTACGTCATATTGAGGAACAGTCTCAAGAGCACCGCCTGGAGGATGAGGTATCCAAGCTGTCCCTGGCTGTGGCGAATCTGGAGAAGAAGGTGGATGCACTCCAGGCAGGACGACAGGAAAGGACTCACAGACGTTCACCGCCGGGGCCGTGTCCGAACTGTGGCCTGGAGGGACACTGGCGTAGGGAATGTACCAAGCCCAGTAAGGATCGACAGCAGACAAGTGCTGCAGAGGTTATTTGCTTCAAATGCAATACGCCTGGACATTTTGCTAAGGGTTGCGCGGCCCATTTTCAGTAGGCGCGGCTGGCGGGGGTGGGCGGAGAGTGATTCGTACCTCTGTACGTCCACTTTACCCCGAGTCGGCCGCGCCTTGCAGCTGGAGCGCGGATTACCTGAACGGTGATGTTGTGTCGTCCTCCGTATGGAGGCCGGCCGCGGCGGCCCGCGGCTCGTCGGTGCGTGGATCTTGGAGCCGGCCCGCTCCGGCCGGCGGCTCGTCGGCGCTGGAGTCCAGTAGCGCGCCTGCTGCGGCCGGCGGCTCGTCGGTGCGTGAATCCTGGAGCGCGCTCGCTACGGCCGTCAGCTCGTCGGCGCTGGAACCCTGGAGTCCGCCCGCTGCGGCCGGCGGCTCGTCGGCGTTGGAGTCCAGTGGCGCACCTGCTACGCTCGACTACTCGTCGGCACCGAATCCCCGTGGCGCGCCCGCTGCGGCCGGCGGCTCGTCCGCGCTGGAGTCCAGAAGCGCGCCTGCTGCGCTCGGCTGCTCGTCGGCGCCGGACCCCGGTGGCGCGCCTGCTGCGGCTGGCGGCTCATCGATGCTGGAACCCTGGAGCCCGCCCGCTGCGGCTGGCGGCTCATCGATGCTGGAACCCTGGAGTCCGCCCGCTGCGGCCGGCGGCTCGTCGGCGCTTGAGTCCAGTGGCGCGCCTGCTACGCTCGACTGCTCGTCGGCGCCGGACCCCCGTAGCGCGCCTGCTGCGGCCGGCGACTCAACGGCGCTGGAGCCTCGGGGCGCGCCTGTCGCGGCCGGCGGCTCGGCGCTGGAACCTCGGGGCCCGCCTGCTGCGCTCGCTGCTCGTCGGCACCGGACCCCCGTGGCGCGCCCGCTGCGGCCGGCGGCTCGTCGGCGCTGGAGTCCGGTGGCGCACCTGCTACGCTCGACTACTCGTCGGCACCGGATCCCCGTGGCGCGCCCGCTGCGGCCGGCGGCTCGTCCGCGCTGGAGTCCAGAAGCGCGCCTGCTGCGCTCGGCTGCTCGTCGGCGCCGGACCCCGGTGGCGCGCCTGCTGCGGCCGGCGGCTCATCGATGCTGGAACCTTGGAGTTCGCCCGCTGCGGCCGGCGGCTCGTCGGCGCTTGAGTCCAGTGGCGCGCCTGCTACGCTCGACTGCTCGTCGGCGCCGGACCCCCGTAGCGGGCCTGCTGCGGCCGGCGGCTCAACGGCGCTGGAGCCTCGGGGCGCGCCTGCCGCGGCCGGCGGCTCGGCGCTGGAACCTCGGGGCCCGCCTGCTGCGCTCGGCTGCTCGTCGGCACCGGACCCCCGTGGCGCGCCTGCTGCGGCCGGCGGCTCATCGGCGCTGGAGTCCAGTAGCGCGCCTGCTGCGCTCGGCCGCTCGTCGGCGCCGGACCCCGGTGGCGCGCCTGCTGCGGCTGGCGGCTCATCGATGCTGGAACCCTGGAGTCCGCCCGCTGCGGCCGGTGGCTCGTCGGCGCTGGAGTCCAGTAGCGCGCCTGCTGCGCTCGGCCGCTCGTCGGCGCCGGACCCCGGTGGCGCGCCTGCTGCGGCTGGCGGCTCATCGATGCTGGAACCCT